AGAATAAAAACTGGGGCAATGGATATGTCACTAACGGCAATTATCCTTAACTCCGTTCTCGCCATCGGCCAACAGATACATAACGTAAGCAACATCGACTGGCTAAAATCGATTCGTCATTGACTCGGGTCGATTTTTCTAGACGTTGTCAATTGTGCGCACTGGAGTGCGCCTTGTTCTATTCCGGGCCGTCTGCAGCTGTGATACAAGCGACTGAATTAGATTGAAAAATCACTCCAGCCGAGTGACGTAAGGGTATGGACGTTGCTCTATCTCGTTGATTTACGGTAACGCGTCAGCGTGTTGCTCTGCGCGGGGGCGGTATGTAGCTGTGCAGTGCAAACTGTTGCCTTTTACCCTCAGTAGGGTAGGTAGGGATTTACTTAGGCGTCCACTTTTGCAATGAATGCAATGATGGATTTTATCTTTTTACTCTATCAGGGTATGATATAGATATATTAAGTTGTTGAAGTATCGTTGATTAGCAGAAACAAAAGATCCAGGCGATTTATGTTAAGAACTTATATAAATTATATATAATAATGGATAAGATAATCTTGGAAGTGTATTTCCAAGAATTTAATCCACCCATATAGGTTATTTGTTCTAAAAGAAGCTTGTTGAAGATTTTTTTAGCCTTCAATAATTAATATGTGTGCAACGAACTTTAATTTTTATTTAATTTAATTTTTATTTTTCCATTTATACTGTGTGTACCTCAGTGAAAACGTTATCTGTAGAAAGTTTTAAGCGATATAGAGCGAATTGAAAGTTAAGTTGTGGGTATAACATTTGGTGATGCTTGATGAGCTATATTATAAATAATTTTGTAAGCCACTGCCTAAGAATTTCATCTTATTACTTGGCAGCTTCATTAATTGAGATATATCAGATCGGCGTGGGTCCCGATCAAAACATACTATTGTGGTACAGCCATGCAGCTGCGTCTGTTGTTGGAGAACAGAGCAGACTCGTTCAGGAAATACCGCGGCCTCACAAAAGACCTACTGAACATCAACAAACAATCACAAGTTTTTTTTGTAACCTTCTCCCAACAAAAACTCTAGTACAAATGTATCTACGGGCATGAAAAAACCTATTCCAGGGCGATTTTCACCCGTGACAGTAAATAACTAAGACTATCGAGGGCCAGTTCGTTTATTCTGGTTGAATGGCCTTTAGCCAACAACCAGACCTTGACAGAGCACGCCGTATATACGAGACTCTACAACTAGCGTCTCAATAAGCCCTTCACAATAGCTGCGTTGATCAAAGTTAATCCTTATAACCGATAGCTCTATCCAAAAATATCATTCACTGTCATAGTCAACAACAGGAAGAAAAAAGAAACACCCAAGTGCGAGTTGGATGCGAACGAAGTGTTCCGTACCATTATAAAAACGGCAAAAAATTATATCTGTTGTATGGGAGCTCCACTTAAATATTTCATTATGTTTTTGAGTATTTGTTGTTATAGCGGAAACAGAAATACATCATCTGTGAAAATTTCAACTTTCTAACTAACACGGTTCATGATATACAGCCTGGTGACAGACCGGCAGACAGACACACGGCGAAGTCTTCGTAATAGGGTCCCGTTTTACCGTTAGAGTACGGAACCCTAATGATAATGTAGATGAAAGAACTGACATGACACATGAGTACAATCAGATCGAGAACTGTGTTCAAAATAATTAATTTACGACTGGACGATAAAATTTCCAGTTCCGCTGGCCCCTGGCCCGCTTAGTTACGTCCTGTTTGTCAGAGGCGCCAGAATTATTCGAATTTGTTACAATTTAGCGACCCGAATGGCGTAGTGGATAGTGTATATGAAAATATTTTTCCTTTTTCAAAAAATTTCGAAAGTTAGCTCGAGAAAAAAAACAAAAGCTGCTTTGTTAGTAAGTAAGGAATCTATGTATATGCATTATACCGAAGTAAGGAATCTGTGTATATGCGTAGATGTTAATTCAACCTGAAGGCAACAATGTAACTCAAATGATACTGGCAAACAAATAAAAAAATAATTATAATGTATTTTTTATTTAACCAGCAAATATGTGAGATATACAAAACATTTAAAAGCTTTTTAATTTAATTTTTTAAAAGCTTAGAACTAGATTACTGTAGCGACATTTCGAAAATCATTCATTTACCATGGTGCTTTCGCATTAGTAGTTAGTATAACATTTTGCGTGGGTTAGATATATTATTTTTATAAATATCTTTAATTCTTAAAATAAATACATGAAAGTGTGATTATTTAGACAAAAATATTTATAGAACCATTATGTAATATAGCACTAAGTTTTTTGTGTCATCCTACTGGAGGGTAAGAAGCCAGTCTGTGAAAATTTTTTAGGCTTGTCTAGAATATACACATATTTAGGTTAACTTCTATGTCTTAAATAAAAATTTTGGAACTATGAACTATTTACTAATTATGAACTATTTCATAGTGACTGTAATGGTAATTCTCAGTATGAAAAAATCTGAGTGACAATTTAGCAGTGATTTTGATTTCAATTTTCTGTATTTATCGAGAGACAAATAATCCTTCAAAGAGCCGCATGTTGGCTCCTCCTGATCTATTTTAGTCTTCCTTTGGTAAACATTACTCCTTTACCCTATCCAGATCCGATACTATTATCTGCGGTTCACACAAGTGGTTGTCTCGTATGGGAATCGAACTTACGACCTCTGGCGTCGAAGCCAATACTTCGACAACTACGACCACAGAGTCATCAACTGCATCAATTACGTCCTTTGTTAGTGTAGGTACATTGTCATTGCCTATTTTTTCTTCTCTGCTAATTCGAATTTCGAATGCTCCCGCCAAAACGAACAGATAAATAATAATGAATAGATAAAAAAATTTTTTATCACGTGACGGATCAGTTCTTGGACTATTATTGTGCGTCAGCTGCCGCGCCTCCATCTTGTAGATAAGGTCGGTTACACAATACTTCGTAGCGACTGAATTATGTCATGTTATGAAAAATTCGGTATATGTCCACAATACATGGCTAATAAAGTGTTATTCAGAAAAAATAGGTAACCTTTGACGTAAAAACAATAAGTGATTACGGTATTTACCATTTTTCTATTTGTTTTTGAGTTATAAAACGAAATAGTGTGTAGCAGTCCTTATAATCAATTTGGCACAGACTATTTTTTCCCTGTAAGCTTCATAATCGCGGTGTTGCGCAACAAAACTAACGGATTTTCACTAGGTTGACAATGAGTTGTAATTTAAAAAAAAAAGTTTACGGATTTATCGTATTATTTTTTAAATCCCTAAAAATTCTTTCATTTATAACGTATAATCGTGTAAATACAAGAGTTGGTACTTTTTTATATTTCTTTATATGCCTTTAAGATCGTAGCGCTGTTGGTAGACGGTTGGTAATTATTGTATATTGCTAATGGAAAATTTAGCGCGAATATTCTACAGATAAATTGTATTTTTGAATTACCGTTGTTTCGAACTATTAAACAATCCGTGTAATAGTATGAAACATCGAATTTTATCACCTTATTTTAAACACGTCACAAGCAAAACAGAGTTACTCGAATCCCGCGCAAAAAGGAAAATGAAGAGATAGGCAACATATATCCGCCTTGCAGATATAGAAAATCTACTCTGGAACACGATAAGCCGTTAGACCAATTTATATTAAAAAAATTACATCAACATTGTTATATATCTACAGCGAGTGTGTGGCGTGTTTAAACGGTGTACATTAATTTTATCCCCTTTAATTTAAGTTCTCGAAATTTCTAAGAATTTGCAGCATTCTTGGTTACTGGATGGACCAATGCGATAGACGTCCTAATATCATTGTTAACACAGACTTTACCCAGTTTTAAAAACTGTTAATATTTAATACAAAGTTATGAGTATTTAATATACAAGTAATTTATGCGTGCCCTAATATCTGGATACCAAAAGTCGTTCCTGTGGTGTCACATCTAATATAAAACATTTGTATTTTAAATTACCCTCATCACGTAATACAATGCTGTAACGAGAGGAATGTTTTATTATTTACCGCAGACACTTTTAGATTATTTATGAATCAAGAACATTGTGCAACTGACGCATGAAGCTATAAAACGACTAAATATAATGGTTCAAGATATCGGGCATCTGTTGCTGTACATTTTAACATCGTCTTAATTCACCGTCTTGGTGACGCTTTAGGAGCCTATGTTTAGATTGACCTAAAGCAAAATGTCTTCCCAGTTTTGATGGATTAGATTAGAATATATAGGTAATAAAATTCGTAAGTAATGCAACTAATTGAACGAACATAGAGAATTCGTGATATTGAAATTGAAACAAAATAACATCAGAATTAGTTGAGCATTTTTGTTTAATTACAAATTCCTATAGGCTCTTCATTTGAGTGGATTGATCACTCACACATTGGACGATTAATATATGATCGTGTTTTTGTATTATATTCAGTGGATAATATACAAAATTATATAATATAATTTTACACATAGTTGATGCTAAAGTTATTAAAATGCATATAAATCTTGTAGATATAAAAGTTATTAAATAATATACTATTATACTAATATATTACTAATAATTAACTATTATACTAATTTATACTAATATATATATTCCCATGTTTACCAGTTTACCCAAACTTGAACATTTTACGGTATGTCAGATGAGCCGGATTTTAATTTATAGAAATAACCTGAATCAGTTACTTGCCTATTTTATCCATAAGCATAAAACTGCACAAGCGTTAAAAAGAACCTTTAGCCTTAAATTCCATATGTGATAAACCGATGATTCTATTTCGAGTTAAATTAAACTTAGTTAAGTATCGAAAGTATAGTAGTATAATAACTTAACGAAATACTTCCCGAGCTGAATATAGCAGCTACATACGTTATCAAACGAATAATAACTCGAAATAATGAAACGTGAATAAATATGATACATTTTTAACCACCATCCCGGCTCCACATTGTCACTTGGTCACCCTACACAGAGTTGGCACGCTTGGAGCGTGCCCAGGGGAACGTGCATGTCCCCCGAACTGTGGTTTTCTGCCAGACTTACGGCCGTCTGGACGGCGGCCATTTTGCCGCTCTAAGGGGTCGATGACTAGAGAGGGGTAGGGGGATTTAAATAGCTTTATAGACGAAACTGGAGCCAAACGTTAGGTATACGGTTTTATCGCGCAGAAACGGCCGCTAAAGTAACGAGTATGGGAAAATTAACAGTGCAAATCACGTGTCCTGTCTATATTTAAGTACTTAATACTTTTTTATAAGAAGACGAGCAATCCAAAAGAGCTTGCGGTTCACCCGATATTAAGCGGTTACCTTCACCCAAGGGCGTCCATAATGAGGTTTCACAAGAGAGTGGACTCAGATTACCTCAATCTAAAAGTATTAAAACCTCTTTAAAGCTGCTGGTTAGCACTAACGTGACATTAAATTGCTTATCGTGCCTTAAGTTGTTGTATACGTAACATTAAAATCGTTCTTACTTTACCTACGGATAATTAATTTATGCCGCTTCTATTTTAGAATATCTACGACAAATATTGCTCCTGAAATGAAATGTACGCGTGACAATTGTAAATTGTAAAACAAATAAAACTGCAGTAAATGCTGAGATTTAAAAAGAAAATTTCTGCATAATATAATTGCTATAAATTACAAGCCGTAGTTTTTGGACCCTTGTTAGTGTATGTTCGACTGTTTTACCACGATATTATAATGATTTATTACAGTTCACGGCGCTGTAAGACATCCTGCGAGACGTATTTACGACGCACTTTGAAGGTGTTGTTAGCGCTTACCTAAATATTTTAGTGAATTTCTCGGCTTCTGGGACACGGCCTTTTTATTTATACTACTTTTAATTCTATAAATTATTCCAGTGCTATGCGAACGTTAAAAAAAAATTGTAAACATTATTCGTGTACTTTTTAACACACACTATAGCTGGCCCGTGTCTGAAATGTCAAAAAAAAAGAAGAAAAAAAAAGTTAGACGCGGCGATATTATCTGTGCCAATTACGTTTCATTTCGCCCCATCTGCAGGAAAGCGACACGGTGTCGAAACCTAATTTTTAATGTCCTCTGGACTACGTCCAAAATAATTTATTCAACGTTTATATGTTTCGGAGTATCGTTAGTTGCATCGGGTGTGCAAGCATTTCAAGGATGTATGTACGTTATTCAGGTCTTCCCTAAATAAATGCTGTAACTACATTATTTCTGTTGATATTAAAAAGAGATTTTTTAAACAACTAACAGGACGTGATTTATCTTTCACATTTTACAGTGTGATGTAATAAGGTGTTGTTCACCATTTTTATATGAATCGCACTGCTTGAGTACGATTTGTCAATGTTTTAAAGTGAGTACAATATTAATTTTGTGCGTAGATTTTTGGACATGAAAAAAATTTACTTGATTATGTTTTAAATAATGCACATGAGTGATTGCAATTTAATTATAAAATTAAGTTGTTTATGAAATAAACATCAAATTTACAAACGTTCAATCGTATGGATTAGGATGACAATTAATATGGTTGTTAATTTATTACCACGATCGTAGAGTATGCGTTGCGGTTTAACCAATCCTTTTAGCCATTTATTACTGCCTATCTCAGATAATAACAGGGATGAATTAAAAAGGCCAATATGCCCTTTAAATGGAACATTCTTTTGTTCGCTTTTATAACTATTTTGCAATATGGCGTCTGTATATCGCCAAACTGAATTGATTACTACTATACATTTATACGATTGTTTGATCGATTGTAAGTACTATTGATTACTACTATATATTTAGTTATACTCGTAATCTTAAGAGGAATCGATTCAAGTAAGTGTAATAAATGATAAATTCATACTCTCCTTTGCAGTCCACATGAGACGATTAAAACATAACACAAAATAGGTATGTTTGAAAAAGGCCAAATTAAATTAAATTAAATATTTTAAACACAACGTTCTCTAGTCTCAACCTGAGCAACGCTTGTATTATGCGTACTAGATAACTGAAAAATATACTTAGCAGTGGGGATTGAACCCACACCCTTCGGCGCGGGAGGTAACTCCACTACCCACTATTCACTACCCACTCCGCCAATCGGATCGTCAATAACTTGACCTTATTAGGTTCTTACAGTTTTTTTGGTAGATCCATTCGTCACCATTACGATTATGGTTTCTTAAACCGATTAACTTTACGCTTCCGTATAACAGGAAGTGGTCAATAACAAAAAAAATATTAAAATCGGTTTAAAAACGACGAAGTTATCCGGGAACACGCGTAAAAAACTATATATATATATATATATATATATATAATTCGAATTGAGTAACCTCCTTCTTAAAACGAAAATAATTAGTATGTGAGATATTTTTTCCTTGCATAGAAAAATCCATTCCCCTGGCGTCTATATGTATATTGTTCAATCGATGCAACCTTAATACATAAATAATGTTAAGAAAGTCTGAATCGGCTGGTCCAACACAAGTCTCAATTTTCCTCCTCGAAGAATTCTTGTAACGACGGGAAACGTAAAAACTCACTATTAAAAATCAGGACTCTACGGCGGATGGTTTACTAATTATTGAACATCTTTAAAGGAAATTATGGCTATAAAATAAATTTAACTACAGACTGCGCAAAAATTTATCGTTTAGAAGGATCATATCCCAAATAAAATAAATATATAGCATCAAAGTAAGATTACTCAATGTGAATACCACATTCGCCGAAGATCTTGTGCTCTCTTTTAGGGTTCCATACCCAAAGGGTAAAACGGAACCCTATTACTAAGACAGACAGACAGCGAAGTCTGTCTGTCCGTTTGTCACCAGGCTGTACTACATGAACCGTAATAGTTAGAAAGTTGAAATTTTCACAGATGATGTATTTCTGTTGCCGCTATAACGAAAAATACTACAAAACAGAATAAAAAAAAATTTAAGTGAGGCCCCCATACAACTGATATGATTTTTTAGGCGTTTTTAAAGATAATGGTACGGAACCATACGGGCGCGTGTCGTCCTCGTTCCCTTGTTCTTATTCTTCTCGAATCGCAAACGTGTTACCTCCTTTCCACATCGGTCTTTTGCAAAGGCGCGGTTTTTGGCGAGTGCGAGTCTGCCCATTCGTGCAACAGAGCTGCTGCGCGGCTGCGTGGCTGTGGTAGAGCTTCATGTGGTAGGTCATCCTGTTGAATTCATCACCGCGGATCTTCTTTACGATTCCACTCGAGACACTGACTTGTTCGACAGACAAATTTTCAGGTGCTGGTACTTTGCCGCAGTACAAGATGATATTATCCTCCGTTTTTCGTAAAAATATATCGCTCAAATAAACAATTATTGAACTAGCAAGCAATAAAACAATCTCTCAAGTCTCATGACATCCGTGAAACCGACAACGAATTGATGTGAACAATTGGTATTCCAACCCAGGGGTTTATACCCGTATGTCACTGTCGAGATGTTTCATCATTTACATCTGGTAAACCCAATAAATTCATAATGTGTTTTGTAATTAATTTGAGTGTAAAAATGTGTGTGTTGTGCTACACAGTTTAAAGTACAAATTCAAATAAACCTGATAAAACCATGACATGATTATGATGACATTACATTACTTGAAATTCAAAATATCTTTTTAGAAAGATGACTAGATTCGCTCAAAATTTAACTATTGTTTCCATGTAAAAAAATAACCATTGTTTCCATACCGAGATTTGAACCAATGACCTAGTGCTTTAGGTACACGTGAACTTCGAGATACTCCATATATCGCCCATGACGCAAGAATTACAAGATAGCATATAATGGCATTCGTGGAAATTTACTGCGGTGGTTTTCGTCATACATATTTCGAAGGACGCAGAAAATTGTTATTAATGGCTTTGAATCAGATTATATATTTGTTCCTTCCGGGGTTCCTCAAGGATCTATCTTAGGGCCTCTTCTCTTTATTCTTTCATTGCTTACATTGTACCAAGAAGAGTTACCATACGCGCTGCACGCGTGCCTCGATTGTTCTACACTGAAAAGTGTAAAACAAATGCTGGACAGCGAGCACCGCTTCGTAGAGCGCTAGATGTATATAACTCTAAATTTATGAATTGTGATTTGTTTTCACTTTCCCAAAATCAATTTAAAAGAATGGTTACACTAATACTTAAAAAGTAATATGCAAATTAGGCTAGGAACCGACTTACTCTTTTTATTTTATTTAACTTAATATTATTTTGCGGACATTGGTGTGGGTTATACGTTTAGTTTAATAATTAGAAATTCCATTTTTTGTATAATTGTTAATGTATAACTGTTTTATGTCCCAATAAATTAAAAAAAAAAATTACGCCTAACCCGCAGAAATCATTTCACCGTCGCAAAGAAGGCATCACGAAAACCCGTTGCCGATAACCGGCAGACATATCATAAACTGAACACTCAAAAGCCGATTCGAACGTAATAAAAAGGCCACCGGCCATCTGCAATACCTCATCGGCCATTTTGACCGGGCCGGCCTTTTGTAGGGAATCCCGAAAATAGAAGCCGATCTAATTTCGACGCGCGTTCCGAGTACGTATTTAGATTGTGTAAACCGTGCTAAATATCGGCCAACGGGGAAATAGTTTTGATATGTTCACTTTGATGTTTAAATAAGCTTATTATATCACTGAGAACGAGTAACTTCAAAAGTGCGGTCGCCAACATTACGACGTGGCGTAACATGTGTATAAGGCGATGGATTTAATGTAAATAATGGAGAGCAATAACTCATTCGTTTAATAATATTCAGACAGCTTTTTCATTATTCGACAATATTATAATAACTCAAAATTCGTTTGTATGTGTATCAGCTTCTTAGCAAAAACGTCCTAATAGCATATTCGTGCCAGCAGATTTAGGTGCATGAAATTTTGCGCAGGCGCTCCTTATTTATAAATGATTTCCTGTTGTATATCAGTCGTTTCAGATATTTCTTTATGATACTTGTTGCAAAATTTGAATTGATTGTAACTTACCAATGTTGCAATTTTGTCTGGTGAGTACTGGAGGTAGCCGGGCCCAACTTAAAAGGTGGTAATGCATCTGGAAACCTACGGGTGTTAAAAATTTAATTGGGGGACGGTGACTTAACATCAGGTGAATCGCCTCCTCAAATAAAAAACACCTTATGTAGGTATATTATGTGTGGCTGTAACAGTTTTGTTTTTGTTGCAGCGATGCCGATACGGGCTTGACACACCGGGTTGACGCGTATCAATCCGCGAGATGTCGCAGCCGCCCCCGGGGCGGGGCCGCGCGCGCGCGCCCTCCCCCTCCTCCCTGCACTACCGGCCCCCCTCCCCCTGGGCGCCGAGCCCGCCCCCGCTGATCTCAGGGCCGCGCCACTCCACCGCGCTCGTCTCACCGCCGCCAGTGCAGCCTTCGCCGAAACCCTTCAGGCCGCTCCAGTCGCCCCACTCCTTCCGGGCGCACTCCCCCTCGCCTAGCTCCCACTTCTCCATCTCCCCCTACCCGATGTCCCCCACGCTGGGCCACAGCCCCGAGTACTACTATTCCTCGCCGTACGAGCCGATCCGCGAGTACGACTACGCGGGCGCCCCCCTCGAACCCCCGCCGCCCCCCCGGCCGATGATATACGAGGAGGAGGAGGAGCGAGGGCCCTCGACCGCGGAGATCATCGCCAACCAGTCGCAGGAGGGCTACGTGGACGAGAAACTAGCTGAGTACCAGGCGACGATTCAACTGCTACAAGGTAAGCTATTTCTGAACGTGGTGGGGCCACGCAACGGCTTTCAATGTTGTACGAATGGGCAAGACCGTACAATGAAGTATCATGACCTCAGAGAAGAGTGGCGGGAGATAGAAGAGTTATTATACTTCTGCGTTTCGTTTGGCGGGTGAGGTATCAGAGTCCCAGTTTTTTAAAAGGTGGCAACGCATCATCGACATTTAGCATCATCGACATTTACAACCTTACGGGTGTTGCAAATGTCAATTGGCGGCGGATATCACGGTGAGCCTGTTTACCATATTCTTACATAAAAACCTAAGGTGAGGCATGTAGATTAGATAGGATAGAAAATATCGCAACTGTTTTTAGGTAGTCAAAAATAGGTTTATTATAAATTCACAGTTTTCCCGTTAGCAGTGATAAGGAATTTATTGAATTTCATGATTGCCTAATATAATCCATCGAAGAAGCAACAAAAACAAATACACGGCGTCTTTTCCAACGAAATTCTCCAAACGCATTACACAGAGTAGAATGATCTGATTCCTAACACATTAGTGTTTATCGATGTTTTGATCACTACAGGTGCTCTGCTAATTTCATTCTAGACGCCGTAGCTTTCTGAGAATCTGTTAGTGTTAAAATAATTCAATCTGCCCTACCCTCCTGTTAACATTAATAAAGTATGCATGTAGGCACATGTCTGACATACGACCGTGAGTTTATGAGATTGATATAATTCAATAAGATTTCTTCAGCTCTTTTTTAATTAGTAATACGTGGCATATGGAAATACAAATAATTTACTAATCCTTTTTACCAATGCATTAATTCAAGAAGTTCTATTCTCCTCGTAACACTTCAAAGGCTGCCGTACTCCGGTCAAATTACTCATTTTGGTCTAAAATTTTAAGTTACAAAAATTTCAAGAAAATAATTGAATATAAAATTTGGAGTTGTTACAGTGGAAATAGATAACATTTATAATAGTTAAAGCATAATAATTGTGAAAAAAGTAATTACGTGATGTTTTCTAACACACCTCTAAACCCTCTTGAAAAAACCACATGAGAGAAAGAGATAATTGCTAATGTCGATTCCTAAGGACACGTTTGTTTGAAACAGACTCTGATATACCGTAAAATAGCGGTGCTTCACATCTATTACAATATATTAACGTGTGTAATCTATTACAGTATATACGTGAAGCAAAAACGTTGGAACCCTTTTGACGAAAATTGCGCGGACACATTTAATTTCCCGCACTTACACTTCACATAGAGAGAATGGTATTTTTTTTTAATTATTCATAAAAATACATTAAATCAAAAAAAAACATTACACACACTACTGTGTGATACTGATGTATAATTTATTATGGTCAAATTTAGACCACTGGGCGACCACTAGTTTTTATAAATTATACTTTAGTTGATAAGCAAAAACCTCTTTTTGTATCTTGCATTAACTGATGTTAACGCTTTCAGTTCTGAGACTATTAAAGCTTCATCGAGCGCAGAACCGGCGGGCAAGCCAGAATACACGGGTTTGAAGCCCTTCATCAGTTAAAAACGTCTTCGTTTTACTCTCTGAGTTATAATTAAATATTAATAATAATAATAATTTACGGTGGTAGGGCCACGCAGCAGCCTCGGCTGTTGCACGAATGGGCAGGCCCGTCCGGGTAAGTACCACGACCTCATAGAGGACCGGCGTAAAGTGGAAGTATGACAAAAACTTTCGCGTTTCGTCTGGTGAGTGAGGTAGCCGGAGCCCAATTTTCAAAAGGTTGTCAATGCATCTGTAACCCCCGGGTGTAGCAGATGTACATGGGCGGCGGTATTCACTTAACATCAGGTGAACCGTCTGCTCGTTTGACAACTTTACGCATAAAAAAAAAAAATATTTTCACTACTAGTTTCATTGGTATCAATACAGTATTTGAACTACGATTGCTTGGGCCACCACTTATGCTACCACTATTTATAACAGATATCATTATGCCAAAGATGCAACGGTGGCTAGTACGTGTGCAGTTTGGCGATCCTCGAAGGAAATTGTTGCGCATTATTATTGAATATAAAACGTGATAAATAAGTTTTATTTCGAGTAATAAAAGTAAGGTAACAGCATAATTATTCTTGTTCATTAATTGTTTTCGTATCCCACCCCCACCCCTCCATTCAGCAGAGGGAAGGGACTCATCTTGTACCAGCTACGTCGTTTCTTTTGAGTTGATTCTACGTTTTATCTTTTCTGTGGAAGTTGAAGCCCCCATATGTACATAAATTGAACAAGCGACACTGGGCACCAAAGCTGTGGACAATTATTTGCACCCGACAAAATTACGTGGCCTATAACGAGTAGAATAAAAGCTAGTTTTTAATAACAGTTTTTAAGTTACCCATTGCTAGTGCTATTGAAATAGTTAAAGACGAGATAGCTTAAATTTATATCAAATGCAGTGTGCAATAACGACTCGTATGCGATTTGTTAATGTCACATTGCTGATTCAGCGTGCTTCTAAGAAACGACCGTATTTCGGGAACGTTGTTGGAAGGGCGTCGCGGCATCGACCGATTTATTGGCGATATTACATTTCGGCGAATAAAGTCTGACCTTTTTATTGCTGGCTATCTTCATGGCCCGTTATAAATAATTACCGCCTTTATTAATTTTAATTCAATAATTACCACCTTAAACAAAATGAATGACAGAAAAGAGGATACCTACGGAGTCTCTTTCGCCTGTTTCTTCTCCGCTAGAGGAACCTCATTACGAGACGGTGGTAGATTAAAAAAAGATATGACTATCGATAGATGAAATGTAAGTTCCTCATGTCGATGAATCATGACTAAAAAAAAATCATTTAGATTTAGATTTTGATTTATGACTAATTATGTTTTTATTCTAACTTAAAAATAAGTTTTTTTAAGTAAGAATCTGGCGAGCGAGCTGGCAGTTCACCTGATAAGTGATAAGCGCCGCCCATGGACATTTGCTACCGTAACTAACTACCTAACTAACCCGTAGGGTTGTAGATGCGTTGCTTTTAATGAGGTGGGCCCCGGATTTCCACACTTCCACTTCACGCCTGTCTTCCGTGAGGTCTTGGTACTTCCCCTGATGGACCTGCCCATTCGTGCAACAGCGAAGACCGTTGCGTGGCCACACGCAATGTGGACCACAGATAAAAAATAGTATGGTGAAAGACATTGTTGCGCTATGTTGCAAAACCCGTTCTTGTAATAAGGCTGTCGCTGACTATTTTTAACCGACTTCAAAAAGGAGGTTCTCAATTCAATTCGTATATTTTTTTTGTTTTGATGGAATTTTTATTTTGAATATCAAATTAAATCTTTGTTCACTTGTTGAAAATGTACATTTGATGGCTTAAAAATGCACTATTTTGATTTTTTCGTTTTTTTAACACATTTAACGGTATTAGTACAAGAAACACCAATCAAACGACTTAAAAGCAACAGCTTATATATGTCCCACTGCTGGGCAAAGGCCTCCCCTTTACAGAAAGAATAGGGCATAGTCTCCCACGCTACCCCACTGCGGATTACTTTTTATACGGTATGTTGGGTAATCTTAAAAAAAGAGATTCTTTACTATACAAGTAAATTGACGGCATTATAAATTTATTTTATTATCAAAGTTTTTTATTTATAAATATATGCAAAATTACTCATTTAAAGTCTCAATCTACGATTCTATTTAGTATATGCGTAGGTATACATTAGTAACATAGGATAAATGCAAGAACATTTCTCAAAGGTGTTTTTCTTCGGTACACTATAACTTCCATAATTCTCCACAAAATTTAATAACTCGACAATCAATTTAAACCTTATATTTGTTGCTATTGACGACAATTAGACATGTAATATAATTAATGTTTTCTTACAAAAATCGTTTCATAAAAGTCTTTATAAAGAATGTATAATAACTCCACGTTCAATACGTCAATTAGTTTATAACAAAGATAGCGAAGTAGACACAAAAACGCTATTCTTATTCAATATAAGTATTCATCAATATTAGGTACGTTTCCCTAATAAATACTATTAAAATTTGTAAAAAAAGTACGAAAAGATTGTCGCCGCTGTGGGAATGGGCTTCAAAATGCTAAAAAACAATGTAGATAAAATACTTTCGTCAGTGTGGCTATCAGCCGTTTAGCTCAGTGGCTAGAGCGTCAGACCGCGAATGCCGATGACGTAGGTTCGATTCCCACAGCGGCGACAATCTTTTCGTACTTTTTCTACAAATTTTAATGTTCAAACTTAAGTGCTGTGATTAGCGCTATAAATAATTTAAATTTCTAATAAATACTAATTAACATATTTATCGTATTCGCATTCAGTACCGTGTACTGTGTGAAGAAATTCGTACGGGACGGGTCAACTGGTCTGATTTAGTGACCGTTACACATTGTTGTGGCAACATTCAATTCATTATTATTACTATCCGCTCAAAGCTTGCATAGATCCGTCTCGCGGTGGATCCAGGTCTCGCGGCGGCCGATTCGTTTTTATTTCGATCAGCCGAATTTAGCACAAGGCCAGGCAACCGCGGCTCCCTCATAACAGCAATCAATTCGCGTCAATACAATGTTTTACGTGTAAAAAGATCGATCGCTTTCTAAACTAAAACTTATGTATGTGTACACAGCTAGCAGAATACAAAGCAGGTTCATTTGACCGTCTTTTAAAGTCAAAGTCAAATCTTAATTCAATATAGGCTTAACTTAAGCTCTTATTGAACGTCAAAAAAAATTTTATGTCAGAACGTGGCAAGTGACTTGGCGGTTCACCTGATGTTAAATGATAACCGCTGCTTGTAAAAAATTGCAACACCCGTAAGGTTGCAGATGTATTTCCAATTAATAATAAAGTCGGCCCCGCCTACCTCACTCACCAGACGAAACGCAATTTCACGCCGATCTTCTGTGAGATCGTGGTAGGGTCAGAGGTACATTATTCTTTTGGGTGCTACGCTCACATGTGGCTGATTATGAGTCATCGAAATTTTGTTTATTGATATCCGAATTGGTTTCAATTTCGGGTGCTTGTATCATAACTTCTTAGTGTATTTGAATGATTGAGGCTTAGAAAACATTCGTTAAACTTCGTTACATAGGACTAAATTTAAAGGTATCAGTGAAGTTCTTAAGTGCATTTTGTTTATGTTGCTAGTTTAACACGACATTATCCTAACGCCTAACTCCAAAGAGAGAAACGTTCTTACTTTCGAGTTAGGTTAAATTTCTCTCGCTACTAAAATCCTCAGTTAAATGGCTCACGCGAAAATATGGTTGAGCAGTCTTGGTACTTGGCCAAAAGCGCTAATTTCCCGGGCGTCATCGCTGCAGCGGACACACGTCAATCAGCCGTTTACGACGGGACGAGATCAAGAGTTTTCCGCTTGAGGTGTCAATCATACAATGGAATTCCGTCTTTCGTTTCTAAATTACTTATCGATATCGATCGATACATATGTTTAGCGTAGCATTTAATGGCTTACAGTTCTAATCAAGAGGTTAAGACGAGTCAAGAGTGAGAAGAGATGGCGGTGGCGCATTTACTAAGCCATTGGCATCGGCGCCGCAGGTCA